AGGCTGAGTACTTCCTCCTGCCAAGGAATGATATGGAAGAAGATTCTCGTTCTTCTCGAGGCTTGATAACTCACATTAAACACCTGCTGATTGTCTTGTTATACTTGTTGAAGTAAGATCCCTGCTAGCTACTCTCTCCAGCTGAGTTAATAATTATCTTGGAAGTCATGAGCTTTTGTTAATGAGACTCAATATTGTACTTTTAATTCAGGAGGGTGTTCCTCACAGTCGCATTTGTATTCTGAAAAAATTCAAGATCTAAACCTTCTTCAGTTAAGTGTCACAGTCCAAGTCAAAGGAGGAGTGACTGTCTCAAGATGCTTTTCACCAGCGTTGAGGTCTGCTAGACTGACGCTGTGTTTTAGCCAATACTTTCACAGTAGACGTGTCCTCCATGCCTTCTCCGCGGTCATAAGAAGAAGAAATTTTCATACCTAACATTCCAGCTGTTGTATGTTAATAGTTAGTGTTGACCTTAGTTTTCACTGAGAAGGTCCACTGCTATGGAAATCTCTTTGTAGTTGATCTGTGGACTTGAACGTAAACATGAATATGAAAGAGTATCTCTCGGTCCTGTAGGAAAGGTAGTGTTAATGTCTATAGACCAAACCTACTGAAGCAGATCCTGCAGAAGAAATGGAAACTGCCTTACTTGGATTTTGAAGGTTCTGTTGTTATACTGAATTTGTCATACTCTGCAGAAGAAGATATTTTTGTGTGTTTTTCTCCAAAAATACATGTCTGATGTAAGTAGAGGGAATTTCAGGAGGTCTTGTCCCGGTCCATCCAGCTGAAGGAAGCATTGTAAGGGTTGTGTGAATGTTGTTACTCTGGCAAAGAAATTTCCAGGTAACCAATACCTATATTAGTTGTATTGGCTGACATGGTTCAGTAAAGTCATACACATTAAAGCCAATGGGTAAATACAGATTCCTGACAGAAAGTACTCATTTTATGAAGAAAGCTGTAGTGGAACTGTCTGTAGGTTGTGGGAAATCAGCAGTGATGCTTAGGATTTCACCATGAAAGTGGTATATAAAGTTCATATTATTCTTGCTGTCTGATGCCATCAGACCCCATTAAACATGTCATCACATTCCTTTTAAGATATTCTACCCTTGGTGAATGGACCAACGCTTCGTATGATTGGTTAGAGAGTAAAAACTCAGCTGCTTTCATGGCCGTATCCCAGCTTTGTGAGGTCATATCCTCTGTTTAGGCTGTGTTGACACAGCATGAGCAGCAATATTTAACCAGAAGGGCAGAGGGGATGGTAGCTGGCCAACCCCATCTTGGGTTGCACATGGGCAAGAAGCAGCATGTCTGCACCCGTTGATGTCTGGATACCAGACTCAGCACAAAGACTGGAGAAGGTGTTCAGCATTTAGGAAAGCACATGCTGACCAAGCAGCCATTCCTCATCTCCTCTGGGAAAGCTTTAATTCTGGTCCTCACCATTTCCCCATCTTGATTACTGTGAGATTCACCTCTTGTTGGGGTTTTGATGCCACGTCTTGACAAGCACATATTGAGACTGTCTTTGTCATTCATCTATACCACCTTTCTTCTGTTGTTCTTTTTTTCCCCACCATGCCATCTGCAGGTTTCTAAACAAAAGGACCTCACTGGTCCTGAATTACATCTTCTCTCCTGGCAAGCTCTCCTGTGCCTTGCACATCTGCCTTTCACATTTCCAGAGATACCAGCTGTAAATTTGCTTTTCTATCTTTGTCCTACAAACATCCCAACCTCCCTTCCCTCCCCAGTTACTTTTCACTGTAATTTCCAGCTGTTTAAGGATTTTGCTGAGAACTGTGGTAATGTTTAAATCAAAATTGCATTGGTTAGAGAGGCCCCTAAGTGCTGGTGTGATGGAAACAGTATTTGCAGAGCGGTGTGCTGAATGACCTCTCCAGTCCTCCCCGTTGCCTTGTGTTTTGTGTCTGCATGTGGCTGGGTTATCTGGGAACAATTTTGAACTGGCAGCTATTTGTTATTTTGTTTGAATGTGTTGTCGTGGGTTTTTTTCTGTAGGGGCAGAGAAAATTTCTGCAGCTCTTTTACCCTGTTTATAGCTGGAACCTGAAAAGCCAGGCTGGCTGGGGTCAGGCTGATGGAGCAGAAAAGAGGGGTCAGCCGGGACACGGATTTACAGTTAGGAAAATAATCACATTGCTGGTGTGAGGGCAGCTTAATTAAATAATTTACATGCCTGTAAAGAGAGAGCTTTAACTCACACTTCAGCTCCCATGTCTGGCACTCGGAGCTTTTCGAGCGGAGCTGGAGCCTGTCATTTTGAAAAGTTTTGAGTGTCACCCAGAGAAAAAGGCTTAGCTGCTACATAATATTTTCCTCCCCAAGGATGTAAAGTTTTAGACAGAGTAGAACTGACTAACTTCAGGCCTTCTATGTTAATTTCTGTTAATTAGCTGTGTTAATTAATGTTATAGCCATTACTATTTTCAATTAGCTGTCAGCAAATATTTTCAGTGCAACTTTTCTGCTATTTCCCCCAAGTTTGGGCTTACAAAAGCAAAGAAATGCATGCACGTATTTTCTGCCACACCACCACGTTACTCAGGATTTCAGCAGTCGCCTAACAAACTGTGAGATGGTGTATTGGTAAGACAGGAGGACGGCTTCGCTTCTTGAGCAGTCTCTTGGCTTAAGTAGGTTTTTCATCATAGTCATTTGACTGTTCATACCACTGTGGTTTTCAGAGATTTTAGTATTGGTTTTATTTGTAAACTTTTTCTCTGCCCCCTCCCCCCCTTTTTTTGTAGATGACTGCTAGAAGCTTGAGGGAAATGCCTTTTTTTTTTGTAAGGTTGAGCCGTTTTCTTTTCAGAAAGCAAAAGTTTCCTGAATCTTGCTAGTATTTTATATGCATTAAGAACATTACCCCCAAAAAAAACATTTTGTTGGTATTTTTGACCAGCATTTAAATAAATGTGTCTCCATTTGTTTCCATCACTACAGCCCGTACTGCCTGGCATCATTAGTTGTTTTATCTGTGGAGTCAGCAGAAACCCCGAAAGAGTATTTTCTTTGTTAATCTGTGTTCTTGCCGAGAGCTCGGCCAGTTGCACCGGAGCAGAACAGAAATAGAGGGGATTAGACTCTTAAGTGGGGCAAAAGTTACTTATTGCTGAAAGTCTGTAATAGGAGGAAGGGGCTATTGGCAGAACTGGCTTTTTGTTTGCTGCAGAAGCTCTGACGTTCTCCCGCAGCGGTGGAGTGCGGAGGCTGAGGTCCCCGGCGGTGTGGTTCTCACCAGGTGGAAAGGCAGATTTGCAGCCATGTGTGCAACCTGTCGGCATTATAAATGCGATTTTGGAAAGCGTAGCAAGTGGGAACTGGATGGCTGAGTACACTGGTAATGAGCTGCAGGTCCTCTCCCCACACCCCCTTGCCGGTGATTGACAGATGGCGTGTTGGTGGCTTTGCAGGATGGGGTGGTCCCCGTCCGGCTCTCAGCAGACAGTTGTCCCCGTCACGAGGCGGCGATCCCAACAAGTGCTAATTGCCAACCCTGGTGACAGTCTTAGGCCTGAGGCTGACACGTGTCGTTGAGAGGACAGGCTGCACTCTCCACATGAGTTATAGGCTGATATGGGGGATTTTACGTTGCTACTGTGTATTGCCATATCATTCATTTTTCTGTAAATAAGGAGTTTCAGTCCCTAAGTCCGCTCCTTTCCACTGTGTCAGTTTTTAAAAGGATAGTTAAATACAGGAAACGGAAAAGGTCTTTCACCTTTCTCTTCGAAAATGTTGTGGGTTTTCTGCTGATCTCAGTACTAAATTGGGGTTACCCTAAGTTTAGATTTCTTGTTGCAAGGAGGGGACAATGGCAAGGGACATTATTCCCAGAAAATTTTGCTTTGCCTAAGGATTGGACATCAGGACTGTATGATTTGTAAGGGGACACAGAAACGTTTAAGGAAAAATAAAGCATCGAGGCGTTAACCAGCAAAGCAATCGATGTGCAGTGATCGATACGAGCCGGGAAGGGTATGTAATATCTTGGCTCACTATCATCAAAAATCGCTACTGTGGGAATTGGCATGTTTAGCTGAAAGTGAAATTTGAACTTCTTTCATGCAATCAGAAATAACTTTCTGCCTTATTTTTTCTCTTTAAAAAATGCAATCGAAATATTGAGGGAGAAGTTTGAAACATACTGATTGCATTTTTGAAGGCATATTATTAACTCTCTTGAGTGCTTGTTGATCTTGGATCGTTTCATTTTCACAGTGTTTCAGACTGAAAATTATTAGTAATTCTGTTTAAGTTGCAACTAGATTACTAATTAACTTTTGTCTCAAAGATTTTATTTCTTACGTGTTTCTGCCAGCGCAGTGTGCTCTTTACACAATGCAGCAGAAGTTTTTTGCTACCTGCCTCTCTGTGCCCCTTACAATCATATAAAGCAGTTTTGGAATTAATGAGCTGTCAAATCTCAGGTAATGAATGAAAAGAACTGACAGAAATTCTTTTGTCATTTAAGAAATTCCAAATAATTAATAGAAAAAAGTGACAGAGATTCTTTTAAGATTTAAGAAGAAATACATCTTTCAAATTCATTGTGTGACTGAAGAAACTTTAAAACATGTTTGCAAAAACGCAGGGATCCTGCTTAATGGGTTAATTCCAGTTCTCTCTTCTGAGATAAACTTACAGAATTTGAGATAAAAGGGTTTTATGTTTTGAGAAATAGATTCCTAGTCCGGAGTTTCCCCATTCCAGGTTCATCTCAAAAATAAAAAATCTTCGCAATTCCTTTATTTGCCATTGTGGGCATATTTGAGTTAGGCATTGCGCGTGTTTATAGTGAGCATGTCTTGTGTACACAGAAGATTTTGGTGTACACAGAAGATTTTGTAAACTGCAGTTTAGGTTTGGGGAGGGAGGGGTGTTTCCTTATGTTTTATGGTTTTTCCAATTATGAAGTCCCACTGTACCTATTCAGAATAACCTCTACTGCTGTTATTTTTCAGGTAACCGTCTCAGATGGGGGCACATCTCCCAGGCAGTCCTCCGTTTGGGTGGTGGTCCAGGTTCTGGATGAGAATGATAACAAACCTCAGTTTCCAGAGAAAGTCTATCAGATCAAGCTGCCAGAGAGGGACCGTAAGAAAAGAGGGGAGCCAATCTACAGAGCTTTTGCTTTTGACAAAGACGAAGGCCCTAATGCAGAAATCTCGTACAGCATTGTGGATGGAAACGATGATGGGAAATTTTTTATTGATCCCAAAACAGGGATGGTTTCTTCCAGAAAGCAGTTCACAGCGGGGAGTTATGACATCTTAACAGTAAGTGCTCTTTCATCAACATACAAACCCATGATTTGACTGACTTTTTTTTAGAAGTAGGCCCTCTTGTATAAAAAGTGATATATGACTGTGTTTAATGTATGACCTATGTGTAAGATCTGACTGTATTAAGAAATCTAGTATTCACAAACAACTACTGCCAAAAAAATGAGTCTGAGAGAACGTTCATGCTATTGCACATAGTGAACTATTCTCAGACTGTTCAGTCAAGTTGCAAATTGTTGGCAAATTGTTCCCATGAATACACATGGGAAACAAAGACCAAGGGCTTGTCTGCAAAGTTGTGTCATGCTGAACTGGGCAGATACAGCTACGGATGGTTATTCACCTTTTGTGTGGACACAATTGCTTGCCCTCATGGAAAGGTCTTTATACTGTCCAAGTTAGGCGGCTTCAGGGAGGAGGAGTACTGTGTACCCTCTGTTCTAGGGTACACCACATCTTCTCACCACATTAAAGAGTGTAAGTATGGCAGCAATTTCAGTTAAAAGAAATCTCAGTCAAAATAATTCTGCCAGAACTCAAGCCATATAGACAAGGTCAAAGAAAGAAAGACTACAAGATGGTGGTGTTGATATAAAGCAATATAAGACTTGAATGTGCACTCTTGATCTATAGCAATAATCCAACAAGTTGTAGTTAAGGAGTTGACAAAAAAAAGTCAGAGGTCCATGGTCTGGCCCATAGTAAAGGAAGCAATGTCACTTACAGTAACGGGTCTCTGTTGGGGTACCTTCATAGGGTTGGAAACTGTGACAGGAAAATGAATAAATATCAAAATATTGAGAAATACCTAGTAACCAGAGCACCCTTTAAGCGAGTGAGTGCCTTTCCCTGTGCAGAGCTGGAAGTCACGTCTGGGATTTGGCCCTTATTATAATGCAACAGCTGAAGATTTTCTACCTCGAAACTGCTCATCACACCCTCAGCATCTTTTCACTAAGGGTCTGCCTGCCTTGAACAGAGCAGGGTGGCGAGTGTTAGCACCAAACCTACTTAACACATTTCCAGAGAAAGAAATAGGGTATGGTATTACAGGAAAATATTTCCCATTTTTAACAGGCATAGTAACAGCATATTTACACCAGTGGTCCTATATAGCCAACATTTCCTTTAGTTTTAAAAGAAGAACCCTTTGATTGACATTGATATTATTCACCAAGGCACCCATTTTGTGACCTACATTCTCCCTTTCCTTAAGCCCAATGTTTGTTGCTGCTCATCTTGTCTTTGCTGTGCTAAAACCATAAAGCATGCCAGGCAAATACCAACTCTATCCATCCCTCTAGAGGACCTTATAATAAAAAGAATTAGCACCAAGCTGGGCAACTCTTAATGAACACGACAGAAAGGAGAAAGCAAGTAAAATAAATATGGCAAAATTGTAAATTATATTTGTTTTGGAGAACGGGGGAAATGATCTGAAACTTATTTAACTCAATTAAAGATCCTGAAGAAGGCAATATGAGGAATACCATTCTTATCTGCAATACAGATGCCATTTAAAAGCCATCAAACACGGTCTGGGTGAGCATGTTTCGCAAGTGCGCGACGTCCCACGGGGTCATTATAAAGCTCCCAGCTTTGCTGCAAGAGGGAACTGACTGGAAGATGAAATTGGAAAGGGAAGCTGGTTCTGGGGAGGAGGATCTGTGTGGGGAGCGCTTGAATTGCATCTCCAGGAGGCCTTGCACCAACATTTCTAAAACAAACATTTCAGTTTAAAATCAGTCTTTTCAGTGAAAAGTCAAAGCGTAATGGAAAAATGAGAACTGAGAACTAAGTGCTTATCTTCCTCTTTTTTCATGGGATTTTATATAGAGGATACAAAGGCCATTTTCCAAGCAGTCATCGTCATGCGATAGAATTAGGTCTGAACTGCCAAGCTGGGATGCTCAGTCTGAGTCCTCTTTTCTTTGTACCTGCCAGATAAAAGCAGTGGACAATGGCCGGCCCCAAAAATCTTCAACTGCACGCCTCCATATTGAGTGGATAAAAAAGCCTGCACCCTCGCCCGTGCCCCTGACTTTCGATGAACCCTTTTACAACTTCACCGTCATGGAAAGCGATAAAGTGACAGAAATCGTCGGGGTGGTCTCTGTGCAGCCATCTAACATTCCTCTCTGGTTTGATATTGTCGGTAAGTTGGGAGCCAGTGGCGTATGGAGGAAGCTTCAGAAGCAAAGCATATGGATGTGTGGTTTTGAGAGCAAGAAAACTAACCACGGACTGTCCCCCCCCAAATTAAACCCACTTTCGTAATGCTGAAATGAAAATGCTGTTTTAATATAGTGATAACAATAATAATAATATTCCTGCTTTTGTTATGACTCCTTAGCTAAGCTGAAAAAAAAGCGCTGTATGGCTGAATTGTTTTTTTTCATAGTATGTTATTTACTGCAATCTTAATGTTGTCTGTCATTTAAATTCTATTGTCATACTTTGCTAATCTCATTTCTAAATGTATTTATGGTACTTAGACTTGCTGTCCCTCATTTCTCTCTTTCTTCACCTTTTTTTCTGCATTCTGTTCTTTTTTTTCTGCTTCCGACTGCCCTGCTTCAAGGTGGCAAGCATGCTCGAGAGATGTTCTATATTCTACAGACAGCTTGTGGGCAGAACTGTTCAACAGAAGGTACCCTTAGTGCAAACACATTTGCTAAAATACAACTATCCAGGCTGCCTTTTATTTTTGCAAGTTCTTTGAGACAATTTATATTACATCTTTCATAAGTGCCTGTGACAGGATGCGATGCGACACATGGATGTGCTGCGTTTCTTTCTATGACAGCTTTTACCGTATTTGTGTCCAATTATTATCATTTTATTCACGGATTTTCCACAGTTTATCACAAATAATTAATTCAAACTTTTCACAGTCCAGTGCCATCCATTTAACTGTGAAACAGAATGGGATGCATCAACATATGGGTTACAAATGGAGCCACCAAAAGTTTGTCGTGAATGCAAGCTGAAAAAGAGAAATGTGTTTTGATGTGAGATTTCAACCACAAAATTGCCATACATAAAATTTCTTATAAAAATAGGGAGGGAGAAATATGCTTAGCAAAGAGGAGGAGACGCTGTAGAAATAATGGTCTTAAAATCGCAGGGAAATGCAGCTAAGGATGTAGCTGTCGAAAAGACAGGGAGTAGAGGGTCTCACTTGGTTGCAGTGGAGAAACAGGAATCAATGTTCCTAAGCATTGCTTTCCTGCTTCTGCTGCTGATTCAGTTATGTTATTTTAAATAATTCATTTAACATCTCCAAAATGAGACTTTCCCCAGCAGCACAACGACCCTGCAAAGTTATTGTGCTATTTAATATTTGCAGATATTTGTATGTAATGTTGTATACTTTTGGATGTAAAACACACTGTCTGCAGAAAGTGGTGTTACTTAAAATAAGGGTTATAAAGCAAATACTATATGAAAGCTTAGAGAAACAAAAAGCCTTTGCCACAGACTTAGTGGCAAGGGTGCATCAGCAGTCTTTATTTACAGGGATTGAGCCTGGCTCTCATTTCAGCATAGCTATTTGCGGATGGGTTTAGCCAACAGGAAGGATAAGGACCACAAAAGAAAGGGTCTGTCAGAGCCATTTTCATCCACCTTTTATTGCCAATTTGTGCAGATGAAAGACAGAAGCAGCAACATTTCCTCTTTGAATTTGTAGCATGGTTTCTGATGTGTCAACCACATTAAAATTAAACCCAAAGCTATTATCATGTTCTAGGGTTCCTGCTAGCCCCTGGGGAAGGACAGCATATGTTTCCTACGATTTTCTTCCCGTTCCCTTGGTTGTTTCAGTATGCTACATGCAATTTATTAGCTAATGTTTACATTCCCTTTCTCTTCCTCACTGATCCTAACTTTCCTCCCAGAAGAAATCCATCTTTATTGATGTTATTGACACTTTTTCCCATTTGAACCTTTTGCTGGCCTCCTCTGCCTTTCGCAGCCTTTTGGTCCTTTCCTTGGCAAATTCACCGACTCTCATTAAAATGCTGCCTGTGTTAAGCACTGAGAGAAGCCCCTGCTCTTCCGCTGCGTTCTTTTACATTATTAGAGTCACTTGCAATCTAGCAACACCTTATAATAATATTTCATTTTTTTCCTACCAAACAGAGATTATGGGGAGAGCATTATGAAATGTAAGCCTTTAATTTGTCATTTAATGTGACCTTTATGGCTAAAATAGTTCAAATGGTTTAGAAGAAGATTTTTGCTATTTAAACAACCCTAATGGTTTCCCTATAGACTGTAGCTCCTGATGCTGCATGATGCTGCATCACCGCAGAGGGTCACGGAGACAGAGCTTCCCTAGACTTAATGAGAAATCGGTGACCCTGTCAATCCAGTTCAGTACTGTTACCATATGAACGTTGTCATTAAATATTACTGCTGTTAAAAATAATAGCACTAGCAACAGCACTCGTTTCTGCAATAGGAGTAGCCAACAATCCTGGGCGTGCAGAAGACCCTATTGTTCCAGATGCTCTGCATACAAGGTGCAAAGATAAAATCCACCCCAAGAGGTTTATAGACAGAGTACTGTATGTTTAGATTATCTTTGCTGCCTTTAGTCAGTGTCAGTATAAAAAACACTTTTTCTCCTTGTTCCTCAATATCATCGTGTGGATAAAAAAGATGTTGATACTTTCCTTTTGGGAGAACATTGAGGTCTAGTGCTGAAAAGCCCAATGAAAGACATGGGTTATTAGTAGAAGTTAATTGTCGTGTATGGAACGCTGTATGGGACTGCTGATGCAAGAGATGGTTTCTGTGCTGCTGAAAATCCTAGACCTGATCTTGCTCCATCTGGTATTTTGTGATTTTTGGACCTCCATGCACGGTTCACAGTAATGTCAACAAAAGCCCTGAAGGCTTATGTAGAGGCATGGTTTAATATAGAGTTTGCAGCTTGACCTTTATGTTTATGACCTTTTCAAACTAAATGGGCATTGGAATTCCAGAGGACCTCTTTTTTAATGCATAACATGCACTTGCTCCCAGCTAAAAAAAAGGAGGGAGGGTGGATGAAGTTTGGCTATGTAGTATTCTGTCTGCCTAACTTCAGCATCTGATTTGCACCTGAATTATAGACACTTTAAATAACTGTGTAAGTTCTTGAGTTAGTCAGCTCCAAGAGAGGAAGGTGCCTTGCGGTCAGGGAGATCATCTTCCCTGCACAGACTAGAGAGGAACAGGATGCTTGCCTGGGTTTTTGGTTGTTTGTTTAATTGGGAATGGTTGAGATGTCATACCTGGTTTCTGTTTTCAGACTGCATTCAACGCCATTCTCAGTTCATGCAGATCCCACAATGTGAAAGACATGAATGTAGGTTGTTTCAGTTGTGTTAAATTTCTTCCGCTACTTTTGAGAAACTATTTTTCAATGGGAACTCCAAAATAAGTCAGAGATCTTTATTTCTCCCAGGTGAATTGAGCCCTCTCTGTCTCTTCCTTTGTTAGTGGTGGGAATGGTGTGATGACTACTTTGACACTGGAGCTAAGCTGCATGGTGCTAGTTTTTGCTTAAGTAGCATGTTGCACAACATCTCTCTGATTCTCCAAACGGGCCTCCCTCTATCTTTCCTTTTCCCCCCAGCCTATGCCTTTACAAGAGTAGCCAAACTTTAAAAGCACATCAGAATTTTTTATCGAGGGTGCTTAAATGGCAATAAGTTTAAGATCTATTAATTTTAATTAATTTTCCATTTATTTCACAGTGCTGTAAATTTTTGTTAATGTCAAAAACATGTAGTTCCCTAGCCTCCTTTGAATTCTCTTCTCTGACAGCTAGCTAAAATACCTTTCTGATTTCTTTTCTGCTTTTTATGCCCTTACCTTCAGCTTTTTAGCAGCAAACCCAAGGCTTTGACTCTCTTTACAATAGTTTTATCTGAAAATTCAGTCTGCATTATTTTCTTCTTCTTAGCCTGATATAGTACATAAGATAATAAATATTTGCATGTTATGTTACTAATATTTGTTATGTTATGATTAACAACAGTCTGTAGTTGAATTTGTATTTCTTGAGGCAGTTGCTAAGTTTATTTCATCTTTTTTGAAAACAGAAAAATTGGAAATTTTGGCTGTGCTTCTTTTCTTGAAAATCCTAGAGGTACTTCAGACTCACCCTTGAGTTTCAGGGTGGATTAGCTTTCTGCATTTTCCTCCAATTCTCTGCTCTGAGCAATGCGAGAATAGTAGCAATTGGCCCTATTTATCATCACTGTCCTTGGTCGTGTTAGTTTGGGACAAGACAAGTAAGAATCCTCTCTTCCCTGAGAAAATGTGTTTTAGAGGCCTGTTCTCTAAATTAGATCATCTCCTGTATGTCTCTTCTTCTCCACTCATCCATCATGGCATGGTAGGCCATATGAGACTTGTGTAAAGATATATCCTGGCTTTATTAAGTTTGGACGTGGAGAATGTATACTCTTTGCTATCTACCAGTGAAGGAAGAATCTTGCCAGGTTTTAGCTGTATTTGATTTGGGAATGTTCAGTGTGATCCATCTTTACATCTTAGACTGAACAAGTCCAATTCTCCACAGTCATCAGACATTTCTGAGGTGTATACTCAATCCCACTCTTTTGGATCATTCCACTGGAAAAGAGGAAGAGAGGCCCTCACATAGGACTCATTTGTTTGAAAAAAACAAAACAAAACAAAACAAACCACACTGAAATTCAAAAGGGACAGAGTTGCAGAACCCACATTCTGTGGGAATGCCGGATCTGTGTTGTATCTTGCCTTAGGCAAATTCTCCAGCTGACCTCTAGAAACCCCTTTTAACAGTTCAGGAAGTTTTCCTTGGCCTGTCTGTTGCACCAAATGAGTGTTAAACTTTACATCAAAAGATCCTCTACCGTTAGTCATGTAAGGTTCAGTGCTTTTTTTTTTTAAACTATATTTTTTATTAAAACGAAAATTAATTCTTTCCAAAGCATACGGGACTTTTGTCAGAAGAAAAATATGTTCATAATGACTATGAAGCCAAGAAACAAGCTAAGAACCAAGGTAACACTCCAGATTCAGCCAGAACATGTAACCAAGGCTACTCTATGCCAAGAGCACAACCTACAGTCTGTTGGATCAGAGGTGTCTCGGTTCAATTTCCTGAGAACTCCTTCTTGACCATGCTATACCATCTGTTAAATTCAAAATTAGGGCTGTGCTAGAAAGGTCTCACGAAGCTGTAGTGAGGGCCAACTAATAAGGTCTTTTGTACCAGGGGCTGTTGTTTCTACAGCCATCCCGAGTTTGATAACAGCTGGGATTGGCTAGTTATATTGGAAAATCCTATATAAACTACAACATGCTTTCAGATAACATAAAAAAATTCCTAGCTGTAGAAACATAATGCTTCCAGGGCTTATGCAAGAGCATTAAGATCAATCTCAAGAAAGTAAGGGTGGAAATCATCTCACTTAACTTCAGGTGTCCAAAGTGTAGACATAACTATCTGTGCTAGGTGTCTTTGGAAATCTTAACAGTCAGTTAGAGAGAAAAAGCACTTTCTGGATAAATTTATATCATCCCAATATGATAAGTCTTCTCATCGAAAGATGGCATTGCAAGTAGATGTGGACTTTGAAGTCCCACTGTAAGTGCTTCAGTTTAATCGAAGTATTTTAAGGGAAGTCTTTAATGTGTATTAAGATGCATCAGCATTACATCTTAGCCTGCAATGGTATTACAAACAACAGCTAATCCACATCTCTCTGAGGTCATTCAGTGTTAAAATGCTTTCTCAGGACCACCTGTCTAGCCAACTTGCCAGTTCAATCAACTTGCCTTCTTTATCGTTGATTTTCCCAGAGTGCCAGAGGAACTCACAAGGTACTATCTTCATTTGAAATATTTCTTTCCTAATGCAATTGCAAGCACATTAGCAAAGACAGCTTCTACATATCTTGTATCTGAAAGCAGGTTTTAGTAGACAATAAAAAGGAAAGCATGTGCCATATGTTGGAAAATGGAATAAGTAATAAAAATTCACATTAATAAAACTGAGCAGCTGAACAAAATTTCATCATCCTTAGCCCTCTTTCATCGTAAGATTGTGATCAAAGAAAACGTTAAATGGCCGATAGTAACATTGGTAAAACTGATACTGCAGAAGCTTACAGAACTGCAGATGAGCTTGCTGCAAAAGGGTTGGGAGTTACATGCTTTCAAAAACCGGCCTCAAGTACCCCAGAAATGTGTGAAGCTGACACCTCCTCAGCTGTCACCTCCTACGGGCTCAGCCCTCCGACCTCAACGTGAGCACCTTCGGAAGGAAGTGGTTTCACGTGGCGTTCCCAGAATAGTTCAACTGCAGGAGTTTTTAAGAGAAAAGTCCTGGTTTTACACCGCGCTCGCTCTCTCCCTCCGAACCCCTCCAACACCTGTCTTTCAAAGATAATTCTGGGTGCTTCTCTGGCTGCTTCTTAGTAGGCCTTGCATAGATTTAACACATCTATAAAGCTCTTAGAGTTTAGCATTTATACCTAATTCATTAATTATTCTTCAGTGCTTAAGTGCAACTTCAGAAGCATTCATCATGAGGAGCTGTTTTGAGGGTATATGAAGGCTGAGGAGCAGTACAAAGCATTTCCAGACCACCTCTAGTACTCCAGATGAGAGGCAGGACCCAACATCTCAGGCAGTATTCCCAGAAGTTCAGCCATCTGAGTGATCTTCATTTTCAACAGCTGACCATGGTCTGTTAAAATGTACCAGACTGAATCAGGAATAAATCAGGATTTCACTCCAAAAGATATTACAATCACAAATCTCACAGCAGGATGTTCTCTGATCCATTTCTGTCTCAGTGTTTGATGCAGTTTCTGCATTGTTTAATAGAAAATTAATCAAGGTAAATTAAAGTGCATTGCCTGGTTAGTTACAAGTGTAGGCTAGAGTGGGGTGGCTGGCAACCAAGATTTCTTTGTTTGTCATTAGACCATTTTGGAAGATGTGAATGGCATATAAAAAACTCATATGATGGATTCAGTTCTTATTTCAGGGGAAGAATATACTGCACTTAATGAAGATGGCTTGAAGAAGTCAGTGTATTGGCAATACACTGTGTAGTGCCCTGCAAACCCAGCCCTAAGCCAACAAAGGAAGGGCATTTAAAACATTTATTGCTAATCCTTCCATTTTACTTCTTGGAAGTTTTAAAGGCAGGGTTTCTTTGGAAGTGTATGCCAGTTGATAGCATATAATTTTTGATTGCTCATTAAGATGGTTATTAAGCATCTTGAAGTATAGGCTTTCATTTTGTTTTCATGGTTATCAGTATGAAACATTCTCTTTGTAAAGTGCCTGCTGTCCCAAGGCTAGCTTCATTTCAGCAGAGATTTCCTTGCAAGAATCTCAAACTCTCTTCTTCAAAGGAGGCTTTTTTTCAGAGTTGGTTTTCATGGTACGATTTTTCTCAAGTAAATCAATTTAAAACATTAATTGGGAGATGGCATCTTTTTCTTTCAAGATTAACTTTAAAAATAAAACCAACCAAACAAAACAAAACACTGAAGATATGATCAATGTCCAAATACCTTGGTATTGCTTAAATGTCAAGGACAATTAGGCTTTTTTTTCCTAGTGTCAAATAGTGTTAAATATATATATATCAATTGAGAAAAATATGCAATCTGGGCTTGCAGAAGGAGGTTAGGGAATAAGCAATGTTTCTATCCACCATAAATCACAGCAGATCCAGATTCAGTGTTTTCCTGGAGAACCACAACTGCATCTATTAGGCTCGGAGCTATATATATGTATATACATATATTCAGCATAGGGAAGTCTGATGGCACGTCTGAAACGACTGTGTTTGGATCATTTCAGTGGGCAGAAGTTCACCAATTCTGCCTTTGCTTGCATAGATTACCTGTACTCTTATTCCTCCTCCCCCTTTCTTGTACCCCTCCCTGAATGGCCTCCAAGGCAGATGTGGACAGAGCAGTGCTTCTTGTAGCTTACACTTTCTTTGCAATAGCCTATGCAAGAGGTAGAAAGAAGTGAGGGTTTCTTCAACTTCTTGGAATGCCAAAACCTTTTTCCTCTCACTAAATGCATGACTCTTTCTGAGAATAATGCCGGTTCCTGGTCAGCAAACCATGCAGGTGCAAGACTTGATGGTAGAGCAAGGAAGACTGTCCCCTTCGCTTCTCTGTCCCCAGCCCTAATATGAGAGCCATTTTGTGATAATACACCAGCCATTCAAATATATAACTCTATGTATATATTGCATGAGAGCTAAGTCAATGGAATGGATGTTTTTCTACCCGAGGATCTAATCCCAAGAGGTCTGAGCAGCTCTTACACAAGTTTTATAACCAGTGGGGTTTGAAAGCTTTTTCCGCTTTGTAGAACTGGGTTGTCAGAGACTGTAGTTAGTGGCATTGCATTGCTTTGTGATGAATATACCTTAAGAGTTCGTTTGTCAGCAGTGTTGTGTTCCACCTCGCCCTGTCCCCAGCCTCCAAAAATTTCAGACTCAACTCATCATAAATTCCACTTCATAGATGAGTGAGTAAGAAGCAGCTTAGCAGCAGGGAGTGTGTGCTTTACTTTTGAACATAATGAGTGGTTCTAATTTATAAACTATAGCTGTGGCTGAGAAATCCTGTAACCCTTTAATCTCAAATTATTTATGGCTTTCTCTTACTTTTTAATAGATTTTTTTTTCTTTTTCCTTTTTTTCTTTCACCTGAGACTCAGGAGAGTTTTCCCACTGGTGCATCATTCAGTGTGTGACAGGATAAGGGGATATTAGTTTCAGAACAGTGCTTTATGAGGTTTTTTTTAATGGAAAGGAATTTGTGATGTGTATCCTGTCAGATCTATTTAAATAATTCCTAAAAGACTAGTAGAATTTGACCTTTGCTGCCAGTAATTATCATTGTCCTTGAAATTAACATAACAAATCTCTATTTGCATTTTTAAAATTGATTATAATTGTAATTTTTAAAGACTCAGTTGACGATCTTTGCACCCACGAACATCAGTGAGAATTTCCTGAAAACAAAATTTGCAGAATAAAACCCTCTTGAAATTATTTTTATACAAAAAGATAATTGTGCTTGTTCATTATCCAAACTACAAGGGCACACATCTTATGAGCCAGTTGATTCTTTTTATAGGCTCAGTTATGGTTCACTTAAATATACTGCTAGAATTTTTTTCTTGCAGTGCATTTTAATGATATCTGCTTTCCAATATACAAACTGTGCTTTGAAATATAAATGAGTTATGAACAAAGAAGTATAAGTAGATGTACTGTGTATGCTAAGGCAAGCCGTTAAGATGGATGCCAGTAAACAGATATGCCCACTTCTAGGAACATTTTCAATGGAAATTTTCCAGAGATGGCTAATTTAATTGTATTTTTGTGCAACAATTAGGAGGGAATTACGATAGTTCTTTCGACGCGGAGAAGGGAGTGGGCACTATTGTCATTGCAAAGCCCTTGGATGCAGAGCAGAGGTCAATATATAATATGACTGTGGAGGTCACCGATGGAACAAACATTGCCACGACTCAGGTAGAATATCACATTCCTTTCTTGGCAAGTTTTTAATTTGTTAGTGGAATGTATATGCTATAAAAATTAATAATTTTGCCATTCAAATAAAACCTCATTCTTTGAGACCACTGTTAATTAATGGAGAGGATATTTTTCAGAGCCTTTCCATCTGGTTGTAAAGAATCGGCTGTTGAATGTTTCAAAGCGGTATTTCTCCTTTTGTCCTCTTCGTGCTCACACGAAAGTAATTTGCCTTCCTCCAGCTGAGGGAGTCCCTATCCCAGGCAGTGAAGCTTAGATTTTGACAAGTGTATCACCCCGTAATGGTCCAAAATACAATAGTGCTTCTGTGGTGTTTCTGAATATTGCTATTGATTGTATTAAATGGAGTTTATACCTCTCATCCTCCCAAGACCCAAATGTGGGACACAGGATCAATTGTTCAGAGAAGAAATTGTTCGGAGGGGAAACTTAAAATTCAAAGGATCTCTCCTTTAGTGTCACTGCCTGCGATTACATTGTCTTCTGGGGAACAGCCCCAGTGAACCCTTTAAAATCAGACTTGCTTATCAGGGTCAGTGCCTTTCAGCAATTAAAAAGTCAGGTCGGATAAACATGAAGGGTTGGGATAATGCCAGCTCTGACACGTCCTTGTTGGAGAGGCCCTGATGCAGAGCCTGGGTTCAGTGGGAACCAGTCTGGAGTTGGGACATGGTCAAGGTCATGGCACCAGGACAGGGACTCTGCGGTCCAGGTGGCACCAGGGAGACTCTAAAGAGCAAAATCCTTAAATACGAGGTGGAGTTGTGGGGGATGGATTACCTAGGACCTGAAATCCTACATCTGAATTACTGCCCAAGTGTGAAGTGTGCCTATAGCCTGAATATGAATTGACACATAGGGAAAAATACATACTGGTAGAGGACACCTGTGTGCAGCCTCAAATCCCAGATTAAATGTGGTTTATAGAGAAAATGAAAAAAATAGGTTTGTGATGTTATATGCTTCTTTATAATGCAGAAGGAAGGCCTGAGCATTTTTTTATATTTACATATATGCATGCGCACGCAGATGCTTCTGTTTTACCTTGCCTTTTTGCTCAAATGGTTCAGATGTAAATCTGTATTCACTGAGTCACAACACCAACTTTCCTAAGAGACTGTTAAATCACTGAGTGCTTTCTCAATCTGAATTCCTGTTGATAACCAGCCCTAAAATCTCTCAGTATCCCTGTCTGATAATTTCTCCTGATAATCCACTCTTGATAAGAAAACATCAGATGACAGTAAGTTAGGTGGTAGGAAATCTGCTATTTTCCCTGTTACTTTCAGTAATTCATTGCATCTCCGCTAAAAACATCCCTTATTTTTAACTTGATTATATCTGGCCTGTATTCCCTGTTATGCCTTTCTCTGCTTGATTAAAGAGCTCTTTAAAAACCACTATTTTCTCCCCAGGAAGGCACTTACTCAGAATAGTCAAATCACCTCCCAGTCTTCTGGTAGACAAGTGAAAGAGAATGACTGACCTCTTTACGTTGCCTTTCCATAAGGCATTTTCTTCAGCCCTTGAGTAGTTTTTTGTTTTGCTTTGTTTTTTAACCTTGGCGACACTCTCAGTCTGCATTTCAGAAATATGGTGTTGAATCCCTAACACGACATTTTTTTTCTTGTAAACATTTCAGCCAAACAAATATTAAAAAGCACAGGGAATTTCAAACATGCTGGATACAAGTAATTTCTCTTGTCATGGATATTATGCTTATTGGTTTTGCTGCTTATGATTTAATAAATTGACCCCATGACAGTCCTCAAAACCTATTTTGATGAAAACCCTACATTTTTAATTAAAACATATGGTAAAAACATATTTCAGCAAAGCTGTTGCATTCTAAAAGAAGCCTGAGCATTCTTTGTAACAGTGATGTGACCTATTTAAAAATGTAAGTTAGTAATTTAAGATTGTAATAGTATAGTATTAGGTAATCATCGGTGGGTACAGGCCCTTCTTTGCTCCTTCTCTCCACGTGGATACTGTTTAATTATTTAATTGTGGCCCGGACAACAACTGAGAGTGTGTTTCTTCTGCTCTTCACAACAGAGATTTCAAAAGCTGCCAGAATTATGGCCTGCCTAATTATCTCTCCCTTTTACAAAACTTTCATACTGTATTTTTGACTGTACTTTGGAGCCTTTGGTGACCTTATTCATCTTTATTTCCTTTTAGAAGAACAATAAAAAAAATCAAACTGATAGGTTAAGTAAAACATGTCATAGAAAGAGACAAAAAAACATCTACTGATGGCTCTCCGCAGCCTTATTCTGAGTTTTGGTAAAATGTAAGTATTTTGTCTCATATACATAGTACCACCTGCATTTTTAACTATAGCTGCCAGAAGATGTCATAGAAGAGGAAGTGGGGGGAAAGCAAATGTATAAATTCATCCCCTTGTATAACAATAAAATAATATAAACCCCCCCCAAAGTGCAATGGTTTATTATGAAACAGCTGATGATTGCCGTGCCAAATGGAACAGTCTTGCTTTTTATTCCACCCCACCTGTTTCCCTTTATCTCTTCCTGGCCTTTTGTCTGTTACACAGTTGGAGGTGGTAAAATACAGCGTAAAAATGCCGAAGATTTTTGCTTCGGTAACATGATCGCTGGCACGGACTCGCGTAAGTTTCTTCAGCAATGTTCCTGCACGCCTGAAACTCCGATAAACTCTTGGCTTCCTTCGTGCCTTACTGCGCACATGGTTCACTCCCGTACCGTGAGAGGAAGGAAACCATTTTGATTTAAAAGTTACATCTGTTGTATTAGCAGTTCGCTGTTGTGAAAAGAGACGAAAAGAACATAAGGAACGTTTAAAAAAAAAAAAGTTAAAAAACTTCCTTTGTCACTGAAAGCCTATTTGGTTTGGGCATGATCAGGATGGCAAAAAGGAATACAGTCTCCAGAGTGAGAAGCAAAGTGCCAGGACTTGTTGAGCTGCTGCCACTCTCTGTGCTGCCCGTGCAGCTGAGCCCCAGCCATCCCTGCAGCACAGCCGTGATGGGGAGGGATGGAGGGGGCAAAGATGAAGAAATGTTGACTCGCTTGATTTATATATTTGGAGTGTGGGTATAAAGCCTCTGTCACGTTGATTAACTTCTAGGAAGGTTAAGTCTCCTGACTTAGCCAAGGAGAGCTTTTGGTTTTTTCCCTTAGCTTAATTCATCATTGCTCAAGGCCACATGGTAATTTATTAAAGGCTGAAGGCGTACGTTGGCTCTAAATCCCCGCGAAACGCGATGCCTGCAGCTGCCAGGCGAGCCGTTGGCCTTGGGGAGGGGACGGGGCTTCTGCATCCCACGTGCTGGAGAGCCGGGACAGCAGCTCCAAGCAGTGACCCTGCTCCTCCCCACCACCACCGCCTCCCTTCGGGCTGGGAGAGGGTCTCGAGCAGAGAGAGGAACCTCCCAGCAAGAAATCAGTGTCATGGTGCCTAAATGCCGACTCCTGCCGCAATATTGACTGCGTAGCATTAGAGGTTCTCTTGGTCATAAGTCAGGTTTATGCCAAAGCCTCCTTTTTTTTACTGAATGACCCAGATCCTTTACATCCAAGCACAACATAGGGATAGCATTTATTTATTTATTTGTAGCGCACACTGTTGAGTTTTGCTAAAATACCCACAGAAGTACAGTTCAGTGGGGTACAATCATCTAAGTGATGATAATTTTTCACTCATTGTGAAAATTCATTGAGAATGTTGTACTAGCGGATAATTTTATTTTTTTAAGAACAGCCTCCTGGAGTCATGGTATTATATGAAAAAGACAGTTTTACTTCTTGCTTATTTTCTTGCCTTCTCCTTCTTCCTCATCATCCTAACCCCTATAAAAAAAAGATGCTTTAAAGCATAAAGGCTGATGCTTCCAAGCTAGGAGTCAAAAAGTGCCTCAGTTTCACTTATTGCAAAACCATCTCACTGTTTCCCAGTTGAGTGGACACTCAGAGAGGAACATGCAGTTCCCTCTGAAAAGTTTTTGCAGATCAATATATGGTTGTTTGTAGTACCTTCAGCTGGAGCCAACCAGGCTGGAAGAGCAGACGGGACACGTTACTGCTCATTGCCCCTTTATGTCTCGCCTTGCAGAAGGTTGTGGACTTTTATTTATTCTTCTGCTCAGGATTGATCTTTAGCCGCAAGTTTCAGGATACCAAACTTGGTCTCACCTTTCAGAGAACACCTTTTCTTTATAAGATTGTTTCTTAACAAAGAGGAGCTGATCAATCACCCCGGGTGAGGGTGATTCTTTTAACTGAACGGTGAAAAGCTCTTCGTAGAGGACCATGGCCAAAATGCAGATAAGACATTAGAGCCCACCAGAAGAGGTTCTGGGCTGTGGATTCTTCTAGGGCAGACAAGGAGACGTGGTGTTTCAATTCAATTTTTCACTTTCGCTCAGTTGAATATTTCCTCCAAACTAGAACGAACCCAATCCTTGATTTTCTTCTGTCCCATCCAGCGATCTCAGCACTGCCTTGCCTGTGAAACAAAGACTTTTTCCCCCATTTTAACATAACACAAGGGGCACGGTAAAGTATAAATAACAGGCCACTGAGGTCAGTAGGGAAACTGTTTGCATTTTTATGTTAAGGTTGGGGTTTGGGAAAGAGAAAAACTTGTCAGGAAGTAGCAAATAAAGCTGGTAACACTATTGAAAGCAATATTAAATCAAAATAGGTTTTCAAAACCCGTACAAAAGCGTAACCTGATTTTAAGCAATTCAGGCACTTAATAGGTTGTACTACAACACTGTGCCCAGACCAAGCAATTAGCCAAGCAGATTCTTCCAGCTTCAAATGTCTCTAAAGCAGCTCCTGGCATTTATCCAGTTTTCAGTCAAATACATTTGTGCCTAAACCAAAGGTATTTGTGATGGGCAACATTAAAAACAGCTTTGGAGAGACTTCCTGCATTAGGTTTTGTCCTGCTTTGATTTGATTGTATTTCTCTAGGCCTTTCACTTACCATTTTGAATACAAAGTCTTTGCTAATGCTCTGAGTGTTACTTTGCCTAATTTGTAAGCTTGGAGGCCCGTGAATCCTTTATTTGAAACTTGCTTTAACTGTGGGAAATAGGAAGCGAGCAGGGAGAAGCAAATCTTTTATAGCGAGGTGCTTGTTCAGACTATAAATTAGGCTCTGCACAATGGAAGCAGAAGGAGGCAAGCCTGCCTTTCTGGAGCCCGCAACACACTGGAAAAGATATGAGCTTTCAAGGATAACCGGGCAGAGACTGCTTTACTGCATGATTGCTTTATGAGCGTGGAAAAAAGACTTGCAGCTAATGTTTGTCTAGGAAAAGTGGTTTAGTCAGTAACCTTGCACAGTCCTCAGCAAAGAGGAATCCCTACTTAGCAGCAAACAAACAGTAAACATTTCTATTTGTCACCTTTCGGAGATGTGTTAGGAAACTTTTAAAGCCTGTCTTTGATTTTACACAATGGGTATTGTCACAGCTTAACACCCCAGGCACCTACACAGTAATAAAGGATATTTATGCAACACAGCTCATTCTTGCCATATCTTCCGTTTGGGAATAAATATGAAGAAAGTATTAAATTACACATACACTCTGAGTCTTTGAGTCGCCTCAGTAGGATAACACTTGATTTTGGGTGAAAGACGTGCTGCAGGCTGGCTAAAGCTTAAGGCTTCGAGGAGCAGAATGCTGGCCCTTTTGAAGTCAATGGGAAATTTGGCAGTAGTACCAGGACTTTATGCCTAAGTTTGGCAGCCGTTAAATGAATTTGAGTAACTTTCCTCATATTAACGATCTGGTGGAATTCGGCTTACTCAACTTCACATATGTTTGTAGGATCAGGTTTTCTATGAGCCTGGTGTTCATGTCAGTGTAACATTTGTCCGTTACTAAAGGAAAAGATTGCCCCCTCTTTTTAAGTAACAACTTACTAGAAGTCATTCTGCTGGAGCAGGAACTCTTCTGCATAGGAAGGTGGCATTTTAAGGTGACCTAATAAAAGGGGGGTGGCTCAAAAATGAACCTAAAACATCTTCCCCAGCTTTGCCACTGCACTTCTCATGTGGCTTTGGTAAGTCATTTAACCTTGCTGGAAGGCAGTGTTTTCCTGGGCAAAGGATGGGGATAATAATAGTCACTTGCTCCTCAAAAGTGTTATAAGGATTGAAGGACTAATATCTATTTAAAACGGCACTGAAGTTCCATTTTATTTTACCTGATTTTGTTTCAGGTAGCTCCCAAGACAGTTAAATTTTTAAGAACATAAGAGAGTTCCATTTTCACCTTTTCCATAGCTTGTGGGTTTAAGAGAGCTCTGTATAATTAGTATTCCCGTGTATAATCTAACTTTCTTTTGTTGCAAGGAAAATTCACCCCCCTCTAGTAAAGGAGAGACCATAATGTTAAAATTAAAGTTAACTCTCGGGGATTTTGAGGGACAGCTGACAAAAATTAGAAATACTCTTAACTGCTTTAATAGAAGAAATTGTGAATCAATAATGACCTCTTTCTTCATTAGCATCTCTAACCCTCCGCCTTCCATCTCCAGATGGAAGTGGCTGTTGAAATGCAGAGTATGTAATAAATAATGCGTATTTCAATGTGGATCACTTGACAAATCATTAAAATACTATCATCTCTGGGGAGGAAGATGCCTGACACTTAAAAAGGCACTTGATCAGTTTTACAGTAGATATGAAGTGAAAGGGGAGGGGGGGGAAACAACTTATTTTCTGGAAACTATCAAAGCAATGTTAAGTGCATGGTTCCCTGTAAGTTTGATGATCACAGTGAATGAGGACCTCAATTTTTTTATCTTTTCCCCACTCCCCACACACCATCATGGTCCATATCTGTGTGTCAGGGTGTTAGCTTATACCTTTTTCAGTGGGAAGGAATGCTGCATTGTGAATCCACATTATAATTTCCGTAGTCTCACGGCTTACCCTTGGTCTCTGATGCTGATCCAGTCCCACCCTGTTTAGTTTACGCAGTCTGATGAAGGCATAAATCACGGAGCCGTGGCTTGCACAGTCACAGTGCAAGCTTTGTGGTGGCTAAAGCTTTATGCCTTCCTCTGCTTTCCCAATTTGCCAGTGATCCCAAAATGCATTAGATATAATGGGAAGTGAACCCAGCACTAGGGCGATCACACACCATGCAAACAAAACAGCACGTCACCGCTGTAGCAGTAGCTTTAAGACACATTGGTGTGCATCTCTACTTTTTTTTTTTAGCCTTACAGAATAGCTTGAGCTTGCACACAGCAATGTTAAAAAAAAATTCACAGATACGAGCCTGTCCCTCACATGGCAGCTTACTTGTTCAAGGTAGACCATGCTGTACTAGCATCAGCAGAATCAAACACTCGTGGTATTTTCAGTCGAATCCATTTGAAAAGTATTTACTTCTCTGTTAGACTATCTAAAATGATACATGACAAAGTTTTTGGCCACTAATTAAAAGTAAATGGTGGTGTTGTCTGTGTTAACAATGCAGCAGAAAATAATCCAACCACGTTACAGTGGTACCTGGCAAGGACTGAGGGTATCAAAGCTGCTCGAGAAGATGCCTTTAAGTATTAAACACTGGTAATCAGATTATCCGCAACTCATATTGCTTCAGTGTCTCTTCCTTACACTAAGAAAAGTGGTTCAGCACTGCTCTGTGTCCCATTAGAGTAGAGTTGAGGACTTTCATTTTTTCCTCGGGCTTTCTTTCTTATATTAGAACTCATTTCTTCACATATTTTTCAGATGTGTGTTTGGCTTTTTTTTTCCTCAGTCAGGTCAGAAACATGCCTTGATATATTGTATAGCAACAACAAAAATATAAAAACCCAAGTAATTCTTCATCATTGTTATAGGAGCAGCAATGTATATGTCCCCCCAATTTTATTGCTATCTGTCCAAGACTGAAGCATAACTTTATATAAGCTTTGCCCACTCTGGCATACCATAACCTGATGAAAATTAAATTGTACGGAATGCGCGGTTGAAGTCTTATGCCATTTAGCTTACAGAGCATTTTATTTCAGCTGTCTTTTAAACAGTTCCCAGGCTAGTTCATTACGACTGCTGCTTACAAGTGCTCATGTTCCTTCTGGTAATGTGTTCTGCAAACCCTTCCACATATCATGGAAATCTAAAGTTTCATTTCTCTCTGAGGCCAACATCTGTTTGTGCAATATTGCAGTAAAAGTATAACTGGATTTTTCTTCTGTTAAGAAAGTATGGGTGAAGAGGGCTTGATCAAGCAAAGTAATAAAATATTTGCTTAAAAAAGAGCCAAGTACTTTTCAGTACAAAGAAAATATCACGAGGGATGGGTCAATTCTCTTAGTCTTAGGGAAGAGTCCTGTGCGTGGCCTTTCCCATGGCGTTCATTGGACTATTTCTTATTTCAAAGCCTTTAAATAAAAAGATTGTTCCATTTCACTCACTGTAAAATTAAGTGTGTGCTTTCACAAGCATATTCTGCAAAAGATACTTTTTGTTTCCAGTACTGAAAAAGAGGCAACCCTTTGCATTTTGTCTTTCAGTATTACATAGTTTGTCAGGGGTCTTGCTGCCATGCTGCCTAAAGTAATCTATAGCATACAAAGTCTGGAAAGCAAATTTTCTCCATGGAGTGACTCCTCCAATGGTGAAAAACACAAAACCTCATCGGAGCCACACACGCATAACATTGAGGCAACCGTTTGCATTTTGTCTTTCAGTATTATGTAGTTTGTCAGGGGTCTTGCGGTCTTGCTGCCATGCTGCCTAAAGTAATCTATAGCATACAAAGTCTGGAAAGCAAATTTTCTCCATGGAGTGACTCCTCCAATGGTGAAAAACACAAAACCTCATCGGAGCCACACACGCATAACATTGCACAGTCACTTAGCTTTTGAAAGGCAAAGCTTGGAAAATAGTGATTCTTATTAGTTACCAGGGTCAGCTTGTGAGATATTGAAATGGGTGTAATAGGCAGCAACAGCAGCATCCTGGCTGCCTTCCCCCTCTCCAAGTTTCTTTAGGGATCAATACTGAGATTTTAAAGACAGACTTGAAGCAAATGGCACAGCGTTCATTCACATTTTTAGCAGAAGTCCTACCGTCCATAAACTGCAACAGAAGGGAGGCAAATAGGTGTTCGAGGGGAAAATGAATTAGTCGGCAATAAAGACAACCATCACTGGCAAAGGAAGAGCAAGGATGAAACCATAAAAATAATCCTTCTCTGTCACCAGTGCCCTGAGATTCCCTGTCCTTGGTGGTATGTATTGATCTGTGTGGCAAGGGCTTGCTTGGTTGTGAGGTCATGTCTCCTGTTCTCGCCTCATCAAGTGTCACCGTTCCTAACACAGGTTAAGGTGTAACAGCAACTTGACGTCTCCACTGCTGTCATGATTTGACATTGCTAGTATGTTCCAATGCAATATATCGGGCAGAAAACAACACAGGGTTTAGCCAAATCCTGGTTGTATAAAAAGCAGATTTAAGTAACATGAAAAGGATTCTTTTATAGCCTTATTAATAGTGAAGGGGAAAGGAAATCCCGTAATAGCTCTAGAAGTCTCTTGTAACCAGAGCAGTTACAAGGGACAACAAAACCTTTTCTATGACCACGCAGGAATATTTTCCAATCTATAGATACTGAAAATATGGACTTCTTTGTCAGGCTCTGAGTAGGTCTTATGATTAGGAACATTTTGCCTCCAAAGTCGTATCCTTAATATTTCTTTTGATCTGAACAGCAAGCATTTAATATTAAACAATGTTTGTCAGTCCCACCATACAGCAGCATAACATCATCAGCCATCTAAAGCAAATTACATTTCTCTAGGTGCCTATTCAGTAATCTGACTAGACTTCAATAACTTCAAATGTTTTTCTTTTATTAACTCCAGGTTCTTATCAAAGTGTTGGATAACAATGATAATGGCCCCGAATTCTCTCACCCAAGTTATGATGTCACCATTTCAGAGGACATCCTCCCTGATACTGAAATTCTGCAAATTGAAGCTATAGACAGAGATGAAAAGCATAAGTTGAGCTACACTATTCACAGCAGCATCGATACAGTCAGCGTGAGAAAATTCAGAATTGATCCCAGCACTGGGGTGCTCTATACTGCTGAGAGATTAGACCATGAAGCTCAAGATAAGCACATCCTTAATGTCATGGTAAGAATGCAATATTCACTTGGCTCAGGACACAATCACTGCTGCTTCAGGTGCATACGTGCCTTAGTCTTTACATGAGCAAAAGACTCTCAGTGCAGTAAGTAGTCATTAATTTCATCTTGCCTGCCCTGCTTTGTATTTAGTTTACATTTTTTATTTGGGCTTTTTGGGAAACTTATTGTGGATTCATTGTATGGAATCTGATACAATTCGCTGTCTCAAGGGAGAGCAAGCAGGAAAGTATTTAATCTTTTGGCATCTGGACCTCTCACTCAAGGTAATTTTCAGAGTTTCTGAAGTGAGGCTGAAAGTTATTTGAGAAGTTATTTGCAGGGAGATAACGGCTTTCTTGCCATAGAGAATGCTACAGCCTTTCTGAATACAAACCTTGTTTATAGTTCACTTTTACGGACTTATTTCAGTACATAAACTGTTGATATATAAAATAGCTTTCATCTACATTTCCAAATGTTTGGGTACGCAGAAAAAAAAAAAAATTACCATTTTTTGTTCAGTGTGCCTAACTTACAGAACATAAGTCTGTCTGTTTTCAAGTGAAGTTTGTAGATTGTGGACCGGAGGTTAATAAAAAAAAAATCTGTGTTAGTTTAAACTTTGTAGTCTGCTATTTTCTTTAACCACTTAAGACTCCTGCAGAAGAGATATTTGAAGGAACAGCTCATGACATGTTGGGTACGGGGCCATTTTTGGGCGGGGGACCCTAGGAATCAGAGAGCTGCTGTGAGATCCAGCGTGGGGTCTCAGCTGAGTGGGGTCTCAGCTCGCAGAGTAACAAGCTGCAAGTCCTCTGGCAAGTAGGCTAAGAAATAAATATAAACTGAATCACAGAGATTCATGGCTGACAGAGGTCATTCCTGGTGCTTGGTTTTGATCTCCACCTGGCACAACAGGATTTTTTTCTCTATTTAAGAAGAACCAAACTTTTGGGGATCATGTTGGCAGGATCATCAGTGTAGCAGTGCTGAGATATTTTGTATGGGGTTGAGGGAGGTGTGATAAATGATACCTCTGTTGGGAGTGCTCAGCACTTCTTAAGGTAATTCCTACTCTGTTTACTATTGGTATCATCATCTTCAAAAAGGTATGTACATATATAATGATGAAAAAGTCCATTGGCAGCTACAAGCACTAGACTGACACACGACGGATCATAGTGGGTAAAATTGTTTGTAGCTCTTTGAAAAAAGGAGCGATGGGCAAGGTATATTTGCCTCTATGTTATAAAGCAGGGAATGGCAGGGCAAAGACATGACCATTTAGCATGTATTTCTTGCAAACTTAAAACCAAATTTAAGATGTCATGTGGTTACCACTTTAAAAATTCATGTCACGGTGATTAGTTGCCAAGCATTTTTTCACAAGTGAAAAAAAAACTCCCTAAGCTCTTCCTGTTTCTTTAATTTTACTATCTACCATCTCACTTGTGAATGTATTTTAGACTGTTCTTTGGGACAAATGGATTTTTTCATTCCTTTGTATTAAATACAACTGAAAGTATTATTAGCACTCAGATGAGTAATATTTATGAAGTTTTACGAGATGGATATCAAGATGTGTATTATGCACTTCTATAGGTCCGAGATCAAGAATTCCCTTATAGAAGAAACCTGGCCAGAGTCATCATAAATGTGGAAGATTCCAATGACCATAGTCCGTACTTTACCAGCCCATTGTACGAAGCCTCGGTGTTTGAATCAGCAGCAGTCGGATCAGCAGTCTTGCAGGTCACAGCTTTGGACAAAGACAAAGGAGAAAACGCAGAGCTTATCTACACTATTGAAGCAGGTTAGGACAGAGGCTGAAAATGTAGCATCGTGATTCATGCCATACACAGAGCAGTGCTGTGATGGTGGTCAGTCAACTTCTTTGGTCTACCTTCTGTAGAGCTGGGCAAAGGAGACACCTTCCTGTTGGTTGTTTTTTATTTTGAAGCTACTATACCCAAAACCTGTCTAAACAGAATCTCATTCACGTTCACTAGATGGCTACAGAGCCTTTTACCTCTAAAAGTCATTGGTTCAAAACCATCACAGAAGACAGTTATTGAAAGCTACAGCCAGTGACTTGTTTTCAGATTGCTGGCTTCAATCTAGTACACAGTGCAGTGGATCCTCCATAAACAAATGCCACCACAGCTGGTATGTCCTGGCATCGTTGCCAATATTCGGATCAGAGGAGCATGGAGGGCTATGCTAAAAACTTCTGTCAGCAGAGCTGTAGCATTTTAATGGCACAAGGTCTCTTGAAACTAGGGGAGGACATGGTGATACCAGATTAAAATTGCTTTTGCTGTTAAGCTCTGGATATTTACATTCACCACATAGTCTGTACCACCAAAGCATTCCTCTGCCGGTGCAACAGCACGGTCATGAGGAATTTGCATTATCTCTGCCACACACGCAAGTGAATGTAACTTCCTCTGGCTCATATGGATCTGAAGTGAAGAATTATCTCTGAGATAAACCATTAACATATATACAAGAGGGGTGCCTGGAAAAAGAGAGAAGGAAGTAGAAATTTGTAACCTTTGGATTTTTTTATGTTTCATTTCTACTTTTTTTCTTTTACTAATATGAATCTTTCCATTGTAATAATAGCAAAACTTGAAACCTATATTGCCCTAAAAAGAACTCTCATATACTGCACATTGTCCCCATATTAATCAGATCGCAAGCCTTTCCCAGCATTAGGCTCTGATCCTACAAGATCATTATTTATCCCTATATTATTATAAAGACTTGTCATTAGCTAGGATGGCGCACGTCAGTTAGGAACAGGATAAATGACAAAAAATAAGTAACAAAATAAGAATATCTACACCATTTCATACTGACTTAACTCCATATAACTCCATTCAAGCTCACACCTTAAATTAAGCTGATATAACCTGAAGCTTAGAGAAGACCCAAGGAATTTTTTCTGTCATTGCCCATATGCTCCGTGGAAGTAGAGTCCCTTAAGCAAACCACGAGGTGAAGTTTTTTGCAGCTAAAAGTGTTGAACTTAGACCCTTGCGATCCTACAAAGATCTTAACACTACAAAACAAATATTTCCTTTATGCGCTGCATTTGGTCTTACCAGTTATTTCTCAGTATTCTCTAGTGGCCTTTAGCTTATATCAGGGGAAATTCTACACGTGCCCAGGCAGGACAACGCTGTGCCTTGTAGGACGAACTCTGAGCAGACCTGATCAGATTCCCAGGGCAATGATTTTCAAGACTGTTCCCAGCTTTTTCTTGACACCTTATTACTAGTATGGGCTCCAACCCAATCACCTATAGGTGCCACCACAATGTAAAGAGCAACCTGACATGCTAGGAGTATGGCTCCCGTACAATGGTAACAGAATCTACATGATGCAGACAGAAAAATATGATGATTAGAAAGGATGCTTTAGCTATTAGATGGTGCTTTTTAGTCTGCATGTTTTTCTCTTTTCGAGAGGCTCTCTCTTCCATTACAGCCTGTTTCTGTTTCATCATGAGCTCTCCCTGCAGTGTCAGACTTCAAACTTCCATTTACTGTAAGCCATGCACTCATTATCCACAGATGTTCCAATCCCAGATGCATCAAAATTCAGTCTTCTGCTGCTGTTGTTTCTATGATCCATAAAATCTGCACTTGAGGATACTGATTTTAACCACAGCATTCAGATTGTACACAGCCCTTTTATTCAGGGGAATTACTTACATCACCCTACATGTGAAGACAGCAATTGGTAAAGAAAGTAGCTTTTGTGTAATTTCGTAAGAAACTCCTAAAGGAGAGGAACCAGCTCTGCCTTACATGAGGCAGTCAGTGGCTAAAAATTATTTGTATTAGTAAACACTGACAAAATAACTGCAGCAGCATTTGTAGTATCTGCGAATGTGACAGCTACTGTGATCTTTATGAGAATTTGTAGCTCTGGCAGAATCTCAGCTCCTCAGTGAATAGCACAATTTTTGTTTTAGCTAGTAGAGTAAACTTTACTGATCTGAAAGGATGGTTATAAATAGAAAGCCACTACCGGTATTGAACTACATACAGTAGTATGTAGCTTAAATTAGCCTCCAAGCCCCAGAATTTACAACAGATAGTGAATCACATCTTAAAAATAGTTCACATTAACTCACTTCATTTAGGATTCCATGTATTTGGTATTCCAGCTACAATTTTCACATTTACTGCTCTGTGCACAGCACCTGTAACAATCACCATTAAAAGAAAATCTCTTGTTTATCACCAGTTACCTGAGACATATTTCTCTCCAGGTCATGGATGGATGCTTGACTGTAGATTGGAAGCAGTTCTAGATTTTAAAGTGTAAATTACAACAGCAGGAACATGTTATAATGATTGGAATCGCTGTAACTCAGTACATGCTGTTTGTATTTAGAATCAAATTTAGAAAAAGAGTCTGTGTGCTTATACATGCCATATACACATGCAGCATCCTATACTTTAAGCAGGCGCTCAAGGAACCAACAAAATACAGATTGCCTAATAAGGTGATCTCTAATTACAGGGTAAGGATACATACCAAAAGCTTTGAATCTGTCTTGCTAAAGAAGAGGTTGGCAAAAAGACTGAAAAGAAAAAAAGACCCCAAAGAAGGTCCTTGATCCAAACTCACTGTTTTCACCTTTATGCAGTCAGTGATATCCCTGCTTTCATGTTATAACAGGCACTTCATGACATTTTCTGCTAAATCTCATTCATCTAGATTCGTCCTCTTCAGAGATGATACGATAAACCTTTGTGCCACAAGATACTTGAATCTCTTTTCTATGCTATTTGTTCTGCTTTATTTTTCTAAATGCCACTTTAACCTTCTTTGAGTCTTGAACTACTGTAATCTTCTCTACAGTTGCTTAATATTCTTTTCAATTAAGAGCCTGAGTTGTTATCCATTTGTCATGTAATTGGCTTGTTAGCCTCTGATCTAGTTTCTTTGCCTTAAGTGTACATGTATTTGACTAATTCCCATAATTTAGGGATGCTTTTTCCTACTTCAGTAGGAGTAATGTACATGCAGCACTTGCTCAGATGTTGATACTCAGAGTCAAGATATAGATAGCAGCACCTGAGTTTCTGATGGTTTGAACACTTATACCATCTACTGAGATACCTGATTTTCAGAAAGGGAGGCTGGAAGGGCCTTTAGAATTCTTTTATGCTCAGGGGTTTTTTTTCCAATAACTGCCTTTAACAAATTGCAGCTAATTGCTCCTGGTTTAAATTATCATTAAGTGCATTGTATTTCATTTCTAATTTGCTTCCAATATTTGTGTTTTAGGAAATACAGGAAACACATTCAAGATTGAACCAGTTTTAGGGATCATTACGTTACTGAAGGAGCCAGACTTAACCACAATGGGACAGTTTGTTCTGTCAGTCAAAGTGACAGATCAAGGTTCTCCACCGCTGTCTGCAACAGCAATTGTGCGGATATCTGTGACGATGGCAGATAACTCCCACCCTAAGTTCACTCTCAGAGAATACCAAGCGGAGGTTAATGAAAATGTGGATATTGGTACTTCTGTCATCTCTCTCTCTGCAATCAGTCAGTCCACGTTAGTTTATGAGGTTAAAGATGGGAATGTGGATGGAGTCTTCACCATAAACCCATATTCTGGAGTGATCACCAGTCAAAAGGCCCTTGACTATGAACGTGCTTCCTTCTATCAGCTCATCATACAGGCAACAAATATGGCAGGCATGGCATCAAATGCCACTGTGAACATTCAGATTGTTGATGAAAATGATAACCCACCAGTTTTTCTCTTCTCTCAGTACTCGGGCAGCATAAGCGAAGCTGCTCCTGTAAATAGCATAGTCCGGAGTGCAAATAACAGTCCCCTCGTGATACGTGCCACTGATGCTGACAGCAACCAGAATGCTTTGCTTGTCTACCAGATTGTTGAATCTACTGCAAAAAAGTATTTCACGGTAGATTCCAGCACAGGTGCAATCAGAACAATTGCAAATTTAGATCACGAAACAATAGCCCACTTCCACTTCCACGTGCATGTTAGAGACAGTGGGAACCCCCAGCTTACAGCAGAGAGCCCAGTTGAAGTGACCATTGAGGTAACTGATGTCAATGACAACCCACCAGTCTTCAGCCAGGCCGTATTTGAGACAGTCTTGCTCCTGCCCACGTATGTTGGTGTTGAGGTTCTCAAAGTCAAGGCTACAGACCCAGATTCAGAGATCCCTCCTGAACTAACCTATAGTCTAATTGAAGGCAATATGGACCATTTTTTAATTGATTCAAGCACAGGGGTACTCACCATTAAAAACAATAGCCTCTCCAAAGACCATTATATGCTAATAGTGAGAGTATCTGATGGGAAATTTTATAGCACTGCTATGGTGACAATAATGGTAAAAGAAGCCATGGATAGTGGGCTCCATTTCACACAAAATTTTTATTCTACTTCTATCTCGGAAAACAGCACCAATATCACAAAGATTGCGGTGGTGAATGCTGTTGGTAACCGCCTCAATGAGCCTTTGAAGTACAGTATATTAAACCCGGGCAACAAATTTAAAATCAAATCCACCTCAGGAGTCATTCAGACAACTGGCATCCCCTTCGACCGAGAGGAACAAGAGCTGTATGAGTTGGTGGTGGAAGCAAGCCGTGAACTAGATCACCTTCGTGTCACTCGAGTGGTGGTGAGGGTTTACATTGAGGACATAAATGACAATGCCCCGGTGTTCGTAGGGCTTCCATACTATGCTGCTGTGCAAGTCGATGCTGAGCCTGGTACCCTAATATATCGAGTGACAGCTATTGATAAAGATAAGGGTGAAAACGGTGAGGTGTCATATCTTCTGAAGGAAGACTACGGACATTTTGAAATTGATAGAGGATCTGGTAGCGTCACTTTAAAAGAAGCCTTCAATTCTGATTTGTCTAACATAGAGTATTTGGTTGTCATTCTTGCAAAAGATGGCGGTAACCCATCACTGTCTGCTTCGGTAGAGCTCCCCATTACTATTGTTAACAAAGCGATGCCTGTATTTGACAAGCCCTTCTATACAGCTTCCGTGAATGAAGATGTAGAAATGCACACGCCAATTTTAAGCATAAATGCAACCAGTCCAGAAGGTCAGGGTATCATTTATATCATTGTCGATGGAGATCCCTACAACCAGTTTAATATCGACTTTGATACTGGAGTTCTGAGTGTCATCAGCCCACTGGACTATGAAATAAATTCTCTTTTCAAGCTGATGGTGCGAGCCAGCGATGCCCTCACTGGCGCTCGAGCTGAGGTCACTGTGGACTTGATCATTAATGATGTTAACGATAATCCTCCAGTTTTTGATCAGTCAGCTTATAATGCTACTTTGTCTGAAGCATCTTTGATTGGGACTCCTGTACTGCAGGTTGTTGCTATTGATGCTGACTCTGACAATAACAAGATTGTGCAGTATCAGATAGTCCAGGACACCTTTAACAGCACAGACTATTTCCATATAGACAGCACCAGTGGCCTAATTCTGACAGCCCGGATGCTGGATCATGAACTCGTACAGCAGTGCAGCTTGAAAGTCAGAGCAACCGATAATGGGTTCCCACCGCTAAGCAGTGAGGTTCTTGTTAGTATCTCAATAACAGATATGAATGACAACCCTCCAGTTTTTAACCAATTAATATATGAATCGTATGTGAGCGAACTGGCACCTCGGGGTCATTTTGTGACTTGCGTCCAAGCCTCTGATGCCGACAGCTCTGATTTTGACAGACTGGAGTACAGCATCCTATCAGGAAATGATCGAACCAGTTTTATTATGGACAGCAAGAGTGGTGTTATCACCCTTTCCAACCATCGCAAACAGAGAATGGAGCCCATGTACAGCCTAAATGTCTCTGTGTCAGACGGGCTGTTCACCAGCACAGCTCAGGTGCACATACAGATCCTCGGGGCCAACCTCTACAGCCCTGTGTTTTCGCAGAGCGTTTATGTTGCAGAGGTTAGAGAAAACGCTGCCCCTGGAACTAAGGTAATCCATGTGAAGGCAACAGATGGGGATTCAGGTGTATACGGCCAGATAAGCTACTCCATAATAAATGACTTTGCCAAGGACCGATTTTTGATTGATAGCAATGGGCAGATTCTGACAACTGAGAGGTTAGACCGGGAGAACCCGCTGGAAAGTGATATCGGTATATTTTTGAGAGCCCTCGATGGAGGTGGCAGGACTACGTTTTGCACTGTGAGAGTGATAGTAGTGGATGAGAATGACAACGCTCCTCAATTTATGACAGTCGAATACAGAGCAAGTGTCAAAGCAGATGTTGGGAAAGGTTATTTGGTAACCCAAGTGCAAGCAGTAGATCCAGATGATGGAGCCAATTCCAGAATTACCTATTCTCTGTATAGTGAAGCCTCTGTTTCAGTAGCTGATCTGCTTGAAATAGATCCGGACAATGGATGGATGGTCACCAAGGGTAGCTTTAACCAGCTGAAAAACACAGTTCTGTCATTCTTTGTCAAAGCAGTTGATGGAAAGCATTCCCTCATTCCTGTCTACATCCATGTTTTACCCCCAGAAACTATTTTGCCTTCCTTTTCTCAACCCCAGTATTCTTTTACCATAGCAGAAGACACCCTCATAGGTAGCACCATTGACATTCTGCATGTTTTGCCTAATCAGGGTGCTTTGTACAGCACAGTTAATGGTGAGCTGACGGAAAACAACAAAGATGAGGTTTTCATCATAGAGCAAGACACGGGGCTCATAAAACTGGATAAGAGACTTGACCACGAGACAAATCCTGCTTTTCACTTCAAAGTTGCGGCTACCATTCAATTAGACAAAGTAGACATTGTGTTGACTGTGGATGTGGAGGTTAAGGTATTGGATGTAAATGACAACAAGCCCATGTTTGAAACAGCTAGCTATGACACTATAATAATGGAAGGGATGCCTATAGGAACAAAACTTATGCAAGTTAAAGCGGTTGATGCAGACTCGAGTGCAAATGGGCAGGTCACCTATACACTTGCAGTGGAATCGGAGCTGGAGAAGATCACAGAAGCGTTCACCATTGATAGCAACAGTGGCTGGATCAGCACGCTGAAGGATCTGGACCATGAAAAGGATCCTGCTTTCACCTTTGCAGTGGTGGCCTCAGATCTGGGGGAAGCTCTATCCTTGTCATCAACCGCCTTGGTCTCAGTTACTGTGACAGATATAAATGATAACGCACCCATCTTTGAGCATGAGGTGTACAGAGGGTCAGTGAAGGAGAGTGACCCTCCAGGGGAAGTTGTGGCTGTTCTTAGCACCTGGGATGAAGACACGTCTGATGTCAACCGGCAGGTTAGCTACCATATTACAGGTAAGAAACAACTTGCTTCTTCCCAAAACCAGCTTTACTGAAGAACTGTGCACGTGTCCAGTTTTAGGTGAACGTGTAGCAGAGTTTCAGCTAAATTATCACTGTGAATCAAACAATTGCATCTCTCTCTGATTTTTTTTTTTTTTTTTTAAATTTGGACAGAATTTGCAGCAACTAGCAAAGCTGAAAAGAGGGAAAGGGAGTGTCTGTCTGTCTGGGTTATTCTCTCTCTAATTTCCAAGATTAATGCTTCATGATTTGCTGCAGTGCAATGTAGTGTGACCCATCAACCCATCATAATTGATATGTCAGCTTGGAAACCATCACTACTTAATGTTTCAACCAAGGGAAGAAGAACATTTTCTTCTTAAGGAGAAAATCCTTATATTTCCAAGCATTTACATTTTTTAAAAATAGCATTTTTCTTTTTGAGATAGGAAAGTGCATGCAGGAGCCACTTTGAAATACCACTATTTATGGGGGGGAAAAAACGGAATTAATTTTACATTGGAAGGAGTGGGGGGATGCCATTTCTTATCAGCACAGATTTCTGGCCAGGGAAATAGTAATCCACTTAGAAGCGCTGGTTAGCTGCCATGCATTGTTATATACAGCATAAGGAATTTCGATTACATTACTAACATATTTTTCAAAGTGTGGTAACATTGCTCTTTCCTATTGTGCTATATTTATTATCATTTTTTTCTCCTAGATTCAGACTGGCTTTTGTGTGAGTATGTTATGATGGGGTGCTGCAGTTATTTTTCTGCCTACAGCTTGCCTTGTCCAATAGATTTTGTTAGGGAACAACTTTATCACTCCCCCCAACCTTCACAATCCAAGAGCTAATATTAATTACCTAGTAATAACCGGATTATTGGGCAAATTCACATTTTTCTCACTCGATAGGATTAGAATTACACACGACTGCATATAGGAAGCAGGCTATGGCCAAAAATGACTTAACTAACAGGATAACCATTCGTATATTCTGCTCTGAGGATAAGACTCCTACCCTTTGTTAGCTATCAAATTGGAAATGGCAGTGGGATGGTGTGTAGGGACAGGTGTGATATTCCAGTTAGCCATAGACTGCCTGTGTTACACATCAGAAGTAGCATCATTTTCAAAGCAAACAGAAATTTGTTCTGACCATTTACTTGAAAGTCTGGATTCAGTTTAAAGGTTTGCAAAGACTATGTGTTTGTACTGTGATGTGTTGTAGGATATTAGAAGTAGAGGCAAAAATAGTCTTGTGGATAAAGCACAGGATTTGGAGGCTTTGGGCAAGGTGCATTAGCTGCCAGTGCCTCAATTCCTACATATCTAAAAGTAAATAAGTAGTGCCTCATACTAGAGATTTTGTGATATTTGAAGGAGTTTGGGGATCCCAGTATAGAAAGTACTATGGGAAATTGAAACCCTTCATGTTTGTAACAAAGGTATGCTCGTGAACCTTGATCATTAGCTGAAGGTACTGTTTTTCTCTTTGTTCTGAAGTCTTTCAGTCATCTCTTATAATGAATTATGCTTTTAATTACATAATAATGTTTTCTTCACATCCCTGTGCTGTTAATTTAGCAAAAACTGGACTTTTGAATAATAACTGTTACATGTGATTCAAAAATTATAGATCATTCTGTACCTTAATTTCTATCACAGTTCAAAATATGCCAGATATTTTGCTGGTATTTTAGTTTTTGAAAACATTAGGTGTGAAAGCCCAAAACTTTCTCTAATGCCTCCTGTACAATTACTAAAGTGTACGAGCTCAGAAATGCCACTGTCTTTGAATTTATATCCTTTGAATTTGGAAAATGCACAAGGAGAAATTAGGTTTTTTGATTAAAATGTCAAAACATATTAAAATATAGTTTAACTAACAAAATAGTCTATTCACACTTTACCTCAAATTGAGCTCAGGAGCTGCCCTTGAATATTTCATGGACTCACGTTAGCTAGATGATTATTCAAATGCTATAGCTTTCTGGAGGGATTTTGAGCCATGGAAACGTCTGTGAATACAATAAACAAACTCAGAGGAAAAACAGGACATTGACAAAAAGGGAGAAGAAAACAAATTATGAGAATGACATGTGGATCCACCAAAACCAGCTTTGTACAAATGCACCTGGAGAAAAGTAGCACACAGAAGATGGAAAAAATCATAATTTAGGAGATGAAAGAAATAAACATTCTGGATCAGATGTGATCACTAAAGAGTCCTTTGCACTCTCTTTAGAAATACAAATGCTTATAGCAGTCTTCTGGTCAACTTTGAAAAGGGGTAGATACATTCTGGTGGATAAGTATATATGCTGGTTTGAACTCCTTCAGTTTAGGAATGGTTTCCATGATTACTGGCAAGTAGTTGCCATTTTCAAATCCACGTTCATCTGCATTTGATGGTGGGGGAAAAAATTTTGCATTTACCCTTTGTTATTTGTAGTTTGATAGCAGCTGGAGATGTTCATAAAGCAAAAGTACTATGTATAAATCTTAATAGAAAATCAATAGGAATGTGCACCTAGGGAGCACAGTAGTTTTCTTTTTAAGGCTCATTTGAGGTCATTGCCTATATCATTTGAGGCAGTTTGGCTAAAACCAGGGCTCTGCTGATGTTTAGCTAGGACGTTTACCCAGCCTAGACCCAGCCAGATATTACTGAGATTTAACAGTGGTAAACTAGGAAAAGCCACCAGAAAAATGTCAGTTGCTAAGACTTCAATACAGTGAAGTGTTTTGTGTTCCTCAGTGATGTTAATTAGGCTCCATCAGGCATGTAAATCTAAGGACAGACAATAGTCTTTAAGCTTGGTTCAGCATAATACAAGGAAGATGGACAGTGTGTTTTGGAGGAAAGAACTGGTATTGTACACAGTAGGTTTTTTGCTGGGTTGATTGCCCAGTGTGAGCAAAGTGATGGGTTTTGTTTGTTTTTATTTTATATTTGAGATCCTGGAATTCTGGAGAAATGGATGTTTCAGTGTTTGGGGGGGACTTGTGCTGCAGGCTGAAGAACAGTGTCTGCAATTTTACGATATTAAAGCTAAGAGGATTGGGTTTATCATTTCGGCAGCTCAGGAAACATGCAACATCTTAAACTGGGAGTGGAGGATAAACCTATTGATTTTATGTGATGCAAATGCCGACAGTTCTAATTGGGAATTGAAAGTATCTAAATAAATGCATAAATGTAAGAGAGAAACTAAATAAATAAGTTAGTAAATATTCAGTTCCCCCTCCCAGATCGGGACATTGCAGTGAAAACTGATACTGCTAGCTTCTAGTTTTCAGTTCCGTTTTAGCCGTTATAATTCCCTCTGTGTGTGCTTTAGTAATGATGTGTGTCAGGATTTGTTTATTTTGGATCACTGTGTCTCTGCATTTCATTTGTATCTGGCTGTTTTCTTTCTTTTCTTAAACTTGAGTTTGATTTGGCTTTGTACTATTTGCTGACTAGGGAGGGAGGGAGAGCATTATTTAAACTTCAAGTAACAAAAGATAAAAGATAATGCTGACTCTTTTAGCCTCAAAGCCTTTCTAAAAAGTTACTGGAGTGCTTTTTCTAGCTCGCACTTCACTGTTGTGAGATTCAAAGTAGAACATAAGAAAACTGCCAAAAGATTTTGAAGAATCCATTAGTACATGTAGTCAGGAGGCTTCCATTTAGAAAAGCTACATTATTCAGAGCGAAAAACTAATTAATTAGAACACCCCTAGGAAACTGAATCTGCTTACATATATTAGTGAAAAAGTTAATTAATCACTGCAGAATGAGATCTGCGTCTAGACATATGTATAAGTACCAGAAAATGGTTCCCTGGGCCACAGTGTAGATTTTTTTGCCTTTCCTTTTTAAAGAATATTTCCTTGACGGTATTTTAGTGTTTACATCTCTTTATTTCTGTTACACTTTATAGTACAACTTCCACCTTTGTGTTCCATCAACAAAGTATACAGCCAGTCCTGAGAACCAAAAAAAATGAAAGGTAGCGCTAATGAAAACGGCATGCAGATAAACTGTTACACGTTTGCTGCTTATTGAACAGGTTTCTTGGTCATTCGGGTTGATCCTTTCCTAGTGGAGAAGAGGGGGGGAAAGGGGATCCCAAGGATGTTTTTTTATACATACTCCCCAAATTCCTACATATGATTTAAAAGCCATTCCATCAAAAACAAAGCAACAGCGATTTTAAAATTGCTCCAAGCTAGTGTTACTGCCAGGCATAAAAGCCACCAGCTGATTTTAATTAGATTTTACCTTTCCTCTTTTCTTAGCAATGGGATACCCGTACCTTGAGTGTATTGCTTCATAGTTGGTCGGGACACTTAATCATTGCCTTTTACAAAAGGACTAATATGCAGGAAAGCACTGACTGATATCACAAAGCTAAATAAGAATATTTAAGACCACTTTTATTAATGGTTTACAACATTAAACTCACTATGACAAGATTACAGCCTTTTATAGAGCAGAGTTAAGCTTTTTTATGCTGGTGTTGAACTGAATAGAGATAATTTAATGTCAATCAGCAGGGGTCTACCTTCTTTGAAGTCACATTAAGACTCCAGTCAATGGACAGATTCTCATTGCCTTGGATTGTATTCAGATCTGCACATCAACATACTGTGTAACCCGCTTTAGGAGAAATATGTGTTTATATCACACAACAGATTAAATAAGGTTTTAATGAGTCCTCTGATGATTATTACAGACTGTCATAGAAACCAGTGGGAAAATTGGGATCTGCTTGGTTTTGTGATCGAAAAAGCTGCTTTTCTATCAACAGAAAATTTCTGTGTTTCATATATCAGTTTTGTGCTCTGTATGATTAGAGGGCCTTTTATAATTATAATGCCTATCTGACTAATTTTCTGAAAATCTTATTCATTACAATGTGCTTTTTTGACATGCTTTTTTTCTAGTTACAGCTAGCACAAATGGTGATGCTTAGCAAGAAAGATTTGCTCGGCCTGTCTCAACTGACTTAGTTTTCATATTAAATAGAAAACAGTCTATCTTGTAATTGGTAGCTAATGAAGAAGGCATAGATTACAGTCTGTGACCTCCTTTCTGCTTTTTGATGTGGAAAGAAGATATGAAATGTGCATGAGACTTTTTTGCTTGGTTTGAAGCTCAGTTTCAAGTTCAGATCTTCTCTGCCTTGTTTTTTTGCTAAGAAGGTCCCTGGGAACTGACAGAATTGTGACACCAGAAGCAACAACAGTGACACCTAATCACTTGACAGCAGAGACAGCTCAAATAAATTCAGCCTTGGATTTTTTTTTAAATACTTATTTACTCAAACCAACACAAGTACTAGACAGGAAGGTTTAAGAACCTGGTCCTTCCATTGAGCTTGGACAGATCCCATGACACATGTCAGGACCCTGAATAAGTTGTAAGCAAAAGTACACTAACATGCTTGACATTCTCGATCCTGTTACAAAAAAGAATAAGCACTCCCTTAATATTTTTACACCACTTTTATATATGGGAAACATGGAAAGTAGTTCTCATATTGCATTTCTGCATGGGAGAGCACAGGAGAAAGCTTGATATGGTGAGGAAAGAGCTAGTAGCAGGTCAGCTGGAATTAAAGTTCACCCAGTGGAGCAGCATGATGCTTTTTTCTATGTCTGCAGTCAGCTTCTATAGCACATGAGTTTGCTATTACTATAGTGCTCTATCCTAAATTATTAAATGTGCAGATATGTTTTTACAGACCAAGGTTGTGTTAAACGCTGGGCACAGAAGGCTGGGTAGTTGGCTTTACTGGTTTTGGCTGGGATAGAGTTAATTTTCTTCATAGCAGCTGGTATGGTGCTATGCTTTGGTTTTGTGACCAAAACAGTGTTGATAACCCAGGGATGTTTTAGCTGTTGCTGAGCAGTGCTTACACAGAGTCAAGGCCTTTCCTGCTCCTCACCCCACCCCACCAGCGAGGAGGCTGGGGGTGCACAAGAAACTGGGAGGGGACACAGCTGGGACAGCTGACCCCAACTGACCAAAGGGATATCCCATACCATATGACATCATGCTCAGCATATAGAGCTGGGGGAAGAAAGAGGAAGTTCAGAGTTACGGCATTTGTCTTCCCAGGTAACTGTTATGCACGATGGAGCCCTGCTGCCCTGGAAATGGCTGAACACTTGCCATGAATTCCTTTGTTTTCTTTGCTTGTGCATTCAGCTTTTGCTTTCCCTGTTAAACTTACTTTATCTCAACCCATGAGTTTTCACACTTGTACCCTTCCAATTCTCTCCCCCATCCCACTGCGGGGGAATGAGCAAGCGGCTGTGTGTGGCTTAGCTGCCTACCTGGGTTAAACCACAACATTGGTTTAAAAGATTTTACTATCTGGTCTGACAGGGGGTTGAGATCAGGCTCAGAGAAAGGCGATTGAAGGTGTTTTCTTTATGGAGCAGGCCAGGGACTTTACCATTTCAGATGAGAGAGTAAATAACTGTTGGAAACATTAACAACAACTGTGCCTGCCTTGATTATTGTGCCCTTCTACACGTGACATGTCCTTACTTCCTTTCTGAGGATGACGTGGACCAAAATTTTCCCTCTCCCAACCCACTTTTGCCACTAGGCAATTTAATCATGTGGAAAAGCAACATTGCCAGGTTCATTGTCAGTGTTACGGCATGATAAAAAGCTGTTCTATTTTGTCTTCTGCACTCCTTTCACCAGCTTTCACTCTCGGATACATTTGATCTAACTGCACTTCTTATCTTCCAACTGCTCCTCAAATGACCTCATGTTAGGACTATTTAATACTAATGTGTCTTCCTGTGTCATGTAAACTTTTTTTAAAACTAGAATTTTAATGAGCAGAAGAACGGCGCAGCTGTATGATAAAGCTTTCATTAGAGGATTCCTTAATAGAACCCACTTCCAGTCCTTGATTGCATAATCAACCGCTAATGAAACTGTCTTGGTAACAAGAGCTACTGTGTATTACATCCTCTCCCGAGACTAAGTGGAAAGACAATTGTACCAGCCTGAGAGGACTATTGATTGTTCACAGTTTGAATTTGATTGCCCTTACGGGGAACTAAACAAGAGATCATCTTCAGCTCTGCTAAATGGATTTTGTTTCCACTGAAACTTATCGGTTCACTTTCATACAAGGCGTTCGGGGGGCAATAAACACAGGGAGCGTAATCTCATTACAGATTTCCTGAGTCTGCAAGTTTGAAAGCAGTGATCACTGTAAAACAAATGACGGCTGCTTAGTCCAGGTCCTCTACAATGTGTCTGTGTTTGTGTTTAAACGAGGTGGGAGCTCCGAAGGGACACCCCAGCCATTGCATGTGGCTTGTCTCGTTGCAGGAGGGAACCCCAAAGGGAAGTTCGCTCTGGGACTGGTTCAGAATGAATGGAAGGTTTATGTTAAAAGGCCTCTAGATCGGGAAGAGCAAGATGTTTATCATCTGAACATCACCGCCACAGACGGCCTCTTTGTAACGCAGACTGCCGTGGAAGTGACCGTCACTGACGTTAATGATAACAATCCAGTTTGTGAACAGGTGAGTTAGCAACACCCGCAGCAATTGACTTGTGTCGAAAGCGATGGTTTCCCTATGGGTGTCCCTGCTATTTACAGGTATTCACAGGCAATGCCCATTTTCATCCTTAAAGTCTTAGTTGAAGAATTCTGGAGTCATCTGGGAGAGGAACAGGATAAAGCAGTCCTGTGAAGCCAAGACTGAAGGATAATGGTCTAGTAAAGTTAGCAATGGAGTCTTGTCCACAGCCACCTTAGCTGGCTTTATTAAAAATGAAGCGTTGTGAGGTGGCACTGGGCAGCAACTCCTCCCCTGCAGAAAAAATGTGCTTTCCCTTCACAACCAATGCGGAAATGTCTTCAATCTAGTTTAACTCCAGCCTTCCTGAACCTGGCAGATGCCAGAGACCCAGTGGAAAAGGCAGAAGAATGTAGCTTGCTCTCATGTTGTTGGGCATGCATGCAGTGTGTCCTGACCGCAGCTTTCACAGTGCTAGCTGTCTCTTATTCTGTGGAAAGGCAATGTGGGGAACTGATATTGCTGCAATAGAAAGGTCTGTCTGAAAGAAAAGACATGATGAAACCCAGAGTTCCTTAATATTACTGCTCACAGAATCCTTTATATATATATACATATATGTATGTACGTACTCATATAATTCCCGTGATTACATTATCACTGATGGACCACTGTCGTTGCAAGCACCACTCCGGGGAATCACAGTCTGTATCTCCCTCAAACGCTGCTGGATGAGGCAATAAAAACAGTTGTCTTCGTTAGCACATTCATCAAAGTTTCCATTTCATGGGTGTTGATGAAACAAGCGGAAGATAGAAAATGAGACCACACTTAACACCTAAGATGAGCCCTATTAAGAGTCATAATTTGGCATTGTTTCTGTGACACCTCAAAGCTTAACAGTGATTTGAATTTCTAAGAATGTGTTATGTAAAGGAAAATTGTTTCCTGTAGAGAAAGATGCACTACAGAGAGTTTAAAAAAAAGGTTCTGCAAAGATTACAAAATGCTATTACATCATAGCTTACATGTCTGGTTTTGTCTCTAGGTTGCATATACAGCACTGTTTCCTGAAGACATTCCATCAAACAAAGTCATTCTTAAAATCAGTGCTGAAGATGCTGACATTGGGTCCAATGGTGAAATTCGCTACTCTCTTTATGGTGCTGGGAACAATAAATTTTTCTTAGATCCGGAAAACGGTAAGATGACAACAATGTTTCCAAATAGCCTTCTTAATCCCTTGACATCAGTGAGTGCTAGTTTCCTTAACTAGAGTTAGGTTAAACTTGGTTATCAGCTAGTTGTTCCAGTTACGGCAGGCGTGGATGACCACTTCTGAAGTGGTGGTGTTAGGAGGGAGAAAGAGGGACGTCTTTGTTGGCCAGGTTGAATGTTGTAATCAGAACAGGGGATACCAACCCTTTTGTTTCCCTGCCAGACCTCAAGTTAGGTCAGAGATGTATCATAGAATCATAGAATAGTTTGGGTTGGAAAGGATCTTTAAAGGTCATCTAGTCCAACCCCTCTGCTCTGGGCAGGGACATCTTCAACTAGATCAGGTTGCTCAGAGCCCCATCCAACCTGACCTTGAAAGTTTCCAGGGATGGGGCATCTACCACCTCTCTGGGCAACCTGTGCCAGTGTTTCACCACCCTCATTGTAAAAAATTTCTTCCTTATATCTAGTCTAAATCTTCCCTCTTTTAGTTTAAAACCATTCCCCCTTGTCCTGTCTCAACAGGCCCTGCTAAAAAGTTTGTCGCCCTCTTTCTTATAAGTACTGAAAGACCGCAATAAGGTCTCCCCAAAGCCTTCTCTTCTCCAGGCTGAATAACCTCAACTCTCTCAGCCTTTCTTCACAGGAGCGG